AGTGCCAGATGGCTAAATGTGAGTCCGTCTGTGGTCATAGACTTTGGAGGCGAGTTTCAAACCACAGATTCGGTCTCAGAGAGGTTCAGCCAAGGACGGCCAACTGCTACGACGAGCGCTGGTGACCGATATTTGGCAGGAATAGAACCGCTACTCCGACTCTTCTTAGATCCTCCTTTGCTGCAGCCACCGGAAGGTTGGTGTCAACGTCAATTGTGCGTAGAAGGCTTCACGAAGGTGGTCTGTATGCGAGACGACCAGCCATTTGCGTGCCGCTCACGTCACGCCCATAGGAGGGACCGTTTGCAGTAGGCATGACAACATGTCCACTGAACGCTTGACCAGTGGAGGGCTGTTCTCTTTACGGAGGAGTCCAGGTTCAGTCTAGAAAGCGATAGTAGGCGTTATTTGATATGGAGAGAACCTGGAACCCGTTATCATCCGTCAAACATCCGTTAAAGAGATGCATACGGAAGAGGCAGTGTCTGTGTTTGGGGTGGCATCTCTTTGGGTGGACGCACAGACCTCTATGGCTTTCCAACGGAAACCGTGAATGCTCCGGTTTATAGAGATGACATCCTTGATCCTTATGTGCGCCCATGTGCAGGGGCAATAGGTGATGCTTTCCTGTTACAGGACGATAACTTAAGATCACACACGGCTCGCATCGTAGATGATTATCTTCAACAGGAAACAATTATGCGCATGGAGTGGCCAGCTCAATTCCCGGACTTGAATCCTATCGAGCACGTTTGCGATGCTTTAGAGAGACGTCTAGCTGCTCTCAGTCTGTCCCCTCAGACCCTTGCTGCGCTTGCAACTGCTTTGCAAGAGCAATGGCTCTCGCTTCCTATGGAACTGATAGACCGCATGATTGAAAGCGTCACGCATCACTGTATGTGCTGTATTGCTTCTAGAGGCGACCTATTGAAGGTACTTTTCCTATAGCAAACTGACACTTTCGATTTGTTCATTTTATACAAGTGCTAATTTCTATACCATAATTGTTTGGTAATTTATTTTTATGTTATTTTATGCCTTACTATGTGTTGTGTATTGTGGGTAAGTTTCATGAAATTCTACATGTAACTTTTTCAGTAATCGTGATTTTTGTGATTTTTCCTTAATTTATGATAACCAGTGTATTTTCAAATATATTGTGTAAAAATATTTGGCAATTGTAAAATTATTATAATAAGTTAAAGAAATATCAAAACTTCTAAAATATTTGTTTGTTAATAAACTTCTAAAATATTTGTTGCAGTTCCCGCGACCCCCCAAAGGGGTCGCTATCCACAGTTTGAGAAACCCGATTTAGAATATTTATGAGTAAAGAATTGCTTGCCAAGTTTTTTCAGAAGGTGTTATGATTTTCGTCTATACCTGACAACAATCTGTATATCATTTCCTCTTATCGTTTATAAATAAATTTATTATTCTCCCCCCCTAAAATGGCGAATGTAACTGAGTGAAGAACATGCATTTAAATTTTTGGATGTTTTCGCAATGGAGTTTCTGCTGTAAAACCATTTAAAATCTTTCAAAGGCCTTTGAGCACAGCACCTTTACCCATAACAAGAGCTTTCGAGTGGTTTAGATGATTAATATAAAGGCAGAGAAGGCTTCAAAGCCGAATCATGCTCTAACAGATCACCAACTTCATCTAATCATAGATCGGTCGTGCCAGACATAGATCAATCGTGTCAGAAATGTGACTCTTAGCAAGCGTCATTAAACAATCACAGATAACATCTAACGAATTCCTATATCATTTGGATCCTATCTAGCAATTTGAGTTAAATTTGGACTTGCTACGCGTCGCGTTGGGTTGCTACAAAAGGTGCATTTTTCTCAAAAACAATGTGTTCTAGCAATTCAGGGGATTTTTTTTCTTCAGTAGAAACTTGAAACGCATTATTGGCGATGATAAACCATTCTGCTTTTTTAAGCAGCTCAAAATGCTGCGAAATAAGACCACAAATCAGTGAATCGGCAAAATAAGAACTGATAGTGTTTACTGATTGTCAGTTCAATTGCTTCTCTAAGGATTTTTTATATTAGCGCGTTGCTGAAGTGTCCTGAACGTCTGATTTATGAGATAACTGCAGAATTGCCTCCATAAGATGGGCCCCACATGCTTGTTGAAACTCTCACCGACAACCACGTGATTTGCGCATGCGCGCAGCAAAACCTAAAACAGAACTTTTTTTAACTGAACTTTGAAAACTCGTGATGGACGTTTGAGTGAAACATGTAATCCTACTCTTCTGCGTTATATATATATTTTAGTTTAGTGATGTGATTGTAAATCAAATATCTTATTATTATCTTAGAAGCCTCTCTCTTTCTGTGAGTAGTGCATCGATGAATGAAATAAACACTCCCGATACGCCTTTGGATTAGAAAGAAGATCGACTAAAAGGTAAGCCTTTTTACCTTTTATTTTCTAAGAAATTTATATGATTACACATTTTTTGGCATCCCGTACCGCGAATGAAAGCAAATTGTTGATACTTGTTGAATTATTGAATACTAAACAATGACAGAATTCATCGATACATTGAAAAGGAAACGCGGCCACATAAGGGCTGCCGTTACAAAATTAATTGGCCTGAATCGAAACTGAATTATCAAAAACAGAAGTGAATGCAGAGGAACTAGAAATTTCCTTAGAACTCTTAAATGAAAAATCGATCGAGTTAAAAGCAAATAGATGCCGATATAGAAAAATTAATAGACATAAAGGATCTAGACCAGGAATTAAACGGTGTTGACGAATATCGTGAAAGAATAACTACATTTAAATACAAAGCTAACAAAAAATTGAAAGAAATTAATATAGAACAACAAAAATTTAGTGTGTTAAGAAGCACTGAACAGTTAAGTTAAGTATTATAGAAAACATTAAAAGCGAAAATCATAATGTGAAGCTTCCTAAACTTACGATTCCGAAGTTTTATGGCGAGAGCTGCGAATGGCTGACATTTTGGAACACTTTTTCATTAGCCATACACCAAAATAAAACGCTTGACGCTATAAGCAAATTTAATTATTTGAAATCCCTTTTGGGAGGTAATGTTTATAACACCATTGACGGTTTCGATTTAACCGAAGAAAATTACGAAACTTCAGTTAAACTCCTCACAGAAAGATTTGGAAATAAAGATGTACTACTAAACGCCCATATAGACAAATTACTGAAAATAAGACCTCTAAAGGATTCTAATGACATTCAAAATTTACATACAAAAACAGAATTAAAAGTTATTCAATTACATACAAAAACATATTCGATGTCTTGAATCATTAAATATGACCTCAGAAACATATGGAGCACCTATTTTGCTTAAAACATTGCCTGCAGATTTGGTTTTGGAATATAATAAAACACTTCGAAAATAAAATTACGATTTGAATCACCTAGTGGAATTTCTTTCTCAGCAATTAATTGCAAGGGAAAAGCTTTGCAATCGAAAGAAGCACCGTCAATTTCTCATACAACCCCCTCCCCCGACAAACAAAACGCGAAAGCAAGCTGTCAACTTGGCATGATAAACGGGTACCAGATGTATCGTCTGCCTCGCAGCTGTCTACAAATGAGAATCAAAATTATAAACATTCAAACTGCATATTTTGCGATTCAGATCATGAAAGTTATGAATGTCGGAATGCGAGTCGTTTAACCTTAGATGAAAAAAAGCAAAAATTGCTGAATCACGGATTCTGTTTTAAATGTTTGAAACGGAACCATATTTCCCGCTTATGCAAAACCAAAGTTAAATGTTCCATATGCGGTAAAGCTCATTTGTCAATAATGTGCAACTCTCACGGAAATAATTCTACAGACATTATTGGGGATGAAAATAATAAAAAAGACTGTGTTCTGACAAATAAATCTTGCATGCAGTTAGTAAATTTGCAAACTTTAATATTAAAACTTCGTGGGGATGGGATCGAAAAATATGTGAGAATTTTAATAGATAGTGGTTCCCAGCGATCCTACATTTCGAAGTATGCAGTTAGTATAATGAATTATAAAACAAGTGGTAAAGAAGAATTAATCCATGGTTTGTTCGGAGGAATTGAAAAGAAAGAAACTCATAGTAAATATTTAATTAGATTGAGTAGTCTTAAAGGTGATTATCACTGTAATTTTCAGGTTTTGGATCAGGATAAAATATGTACTGACATTCCTCAAATTCGTAGAGATACATATCTTATTGAACTGCGAAAACATGGAATTTAACTGACATGCAGAATAAATCTTTGATTTGATGTATGAAAAATCACCTTTAAAAATTCATGTTCTTTTAGGTGCAGATGTGGCAGGAAAGCTTCTAACAGGGAAAGTTAGACAACTAAAATGTGGGTTATCATGCGTACACACTAGATTAGGATGGACAATGATGGGGAAAAATGAAAAGCGTGAGTTCTCTGACAGTACGAAAACTGTATTGTCACTTCATGTTAATGATGCTAAAATTTCGGATTTATGGTGTCTTGACTCGTTAGGAATAACGGATCTGCTACAACCCACACAAGAAAGGAAATTAATGAAATCGCTAAAACATAATTTTGTCAGTCATTAAAGAGAGATAGTGAGGGTAGATATCAGGTCTCTCTTCCTTGGTTAGAAGGGCATGAGGTTTTACCTGACAACAGATTATTAGCAGAGAAAAGGTTAAAATCCTGCATCAAAAATCTTCAGTCAAAAAACTGTCTGAAAGAGTATGAAAATATTTTTAAGCAAATGGGCTGAAAAAGGTATTATAGAATCTGTTGAAGATAAGAAAACTGAAAATTGTCATAACCTACCACATAGGGCTGTAATTAAGCAAAGTTCAACCACAAAGATTAGACCTGTGTTCGATGCCTCAGCGAAGGAAAGGAATGGTGTGTCCTTAAATGACTGTTTAGAAAAGGGCCCAAATTATTTGGAATTAATACCGAGTATTTTAAACAGATTTCGCCTAGGTAAATACGGGGTTATCTCAGATATATGTAAGGCCTTTTTGCAAATAGGTGTCTGTCTTCGAGATAGAGACTTTCTTAGATTTCTCTGGTGGGAAGAAGGAGATTCCGAAAAATTTAAAATATATCGACATAAGCGCGTTGTGTTTGGCGTTAATGGCAGTCCTTTTTTTCTCGCCGCCACACTGAATTATCATCTCGAGAATGTTCCTGAACATCAACAAGAGGTAGCTAAGAAATTAAGTGAATCAATGTACGTCGACAATTGTGTGGCCAGCATTGATACTATTGAAGGACTAAACACTTTCATTAATGTGTCGAAGGAAATTATGTCGACTGCTAAATTTGATTTAAGGGGATGGTGTTACAATGAACCTAGCAATGAAACTTTAAAAGGAAATCCTTGCAATAAAGACTCCGATAAAACCGTATCAGTTCTGGGGTTGAAATGGAATTTATCAAATGACACTTTGTCCTGTGACTTTAAAGATAGTTCTGTGAAACAGCCTGTCAACAAAAGGAATATATTGTCAATAGTACACAGGATTTTTGATTCGATTGGTTTTACAGCTCCTGCTACTCTGATTCCTAAGCTAATGCTTCAAGAATGCTGGAAACAGTAGATTTCATGGGATAACAATTTACCTAAAAGCATTTCTGACAAATTTGAAAGTTGGAAAAATAAATTGCACAATTTGGAAAAAATAGCTATACCCAGAAGAATTTTTGCTGACTCCGAAAGAATTTCCGATTTATCTTTATCTTACGTGTTTTGTGATCTCGTTATTAAAGTGTTTCGTGACTCGAGTAAATATGCCACATGCATATTTATGCGAAGCTGTAATGAAAATTCCGTTACATGTCAGCTCATCTCAGCTTGATCCAGAGTGGCACCTATCAAGCCGATTTCCATACCACGACTAGAGCTCTTAGCTTGTACGATTGGTGCTAGACTAGCACATCGTGTTAAGGAAGATTTGAGACTAGAAAGCTTGCCTATTTATTATTGGAGTGATTCTATGGATGCATTATTTTGGATAAAAAAGAATGAAAACTGGGCCGTTTTCGTTCACAATAGAGTGAAAGAAATCCGTACTCTAAGTAATCCAAACGACTGGAATTATATTCCTGGAACACTAAATCCAGCTGACCTCCCTTCCCGAGGATGCAGTCCGGAAACCTTAGTCAAATAGAAATGGTGGGAGGGTCCCGATTGGTTGAGAAATGATTCAGAAAAATAGCCTACCTCTGAAATTGTACTGAATTTTGACATTATAAATGCTGAAAGAAAGAAGACAATAATTTCTGCAGTTAATTCGAATGCTATGACTGAAGTTAATTTTGATAAGATTTCTTCGTACAATACCATTCTAAAGATAATATCTTGGATCTTCCATTTTGTTAAAAATGTCAGACTAAGTCCTAATGAAAGAACTTTTGGAACAATTACAGCGGAAGAAATTAAAGGAGCCGAACTAACTCTTTTGAGATTAGTGCACAGCAGTGAATCATTTTCTGGATTAGATGACAAAAGATTACGTATACTTCAACCAATGATTGATTCTAACAGAATCCTTAGGGTTAAAACCAGAATTCTGAGAAGAGATGATGCAGAAAATTTTCGAGTTTCTATTATTCTTCCTTCAGATCATCCTATTGTAGTAAAATTAATTAGAGCTAAACATGAAATGAACAATCATGCAGGAGTACAATTTTTAATATCTGCTTTATGAGAACAATATTGGATTTTGAAAACACGAAAGACTGTCAAGAAAGTCATAAGAAGCTGTGTTGTATGTCAGAGGTTCGATACTAATTCTTGAAAACACCCATTGCTGCTCTCCCTGAAGACTGAGTAAGAGAAGCAGCAGTCTTTGAGATTGTAGGTGTTGACTTGACTGGACCGTTGATATTGAAGGGAAATCAAAAATCATGGATAGTGATTTTTACCTGTGCTGTTTTTCGCGCAGTACATTTGGAATTGATTTTCTCGCTATCAACTGAAAGTTTTCTGCAAGCGCTGAGACGTTTCATTGCTAGACGTGGAAGACCCCACACCATCTATTCCGACAATGGAACGAATTTCAAAGGAAGTGATAGATTATTCAAAAGCTTAAATTGGGATAAAATCTTAGAACAAGCTAGTATCCACAGGATCACATGGAAATTTCTTCCGCCATCAGCTCCCTGGTGGGGAGGATGGTGGGAGCGATTAATAGGAGTCCTGAAAAGAATCCTTCGCAAAGTTTTAGGACGATCATCTCTGAATCATGAAGAAATGATAACAATTTTGTGTGACTGTGAAGCAATAATGAATAATCGTCCATTGACGTATGTCTCGGAAGATGTTGAAGATTTATCTCCGATCACACCTTCCATGTTTCTCCATGAGATTCGACAAATTGGAGTTCCTGATCTGGATAATATAGATGCGAAATCTTTAAACAAAAGGCTTATTTATCGACAAAAAAACTTTTACAAGATCTACGTAAAAGATTTCGAATCGAATATCTCGGACAGTTACGGCAAAATTATGAACATGTAAAAGCTTCACAACCTCTGAAAATAGGAGATCTTGTTTTAGTGTCCGATGATAATAAGAAGCGAACAGACTGGTTATTGGCGAAAGTAACCGAGATTTTCAAATCTCGGGATGGACATGTGCGTTTAGTTAAGGTCAAGACTAAGCTTGGAGAAGTTTTGCGACCAACCAAGCGTTTGTATCCTTTGGAGATAACATCATCAGATGAATAGTCTAGATTTAGAAATGTGGCAAGCAGCTCTTCTGATGAACCAGAGACTAAAGGCCCGTTTCCACTGCTGCGTATGCGTTGCGGTGCGTATGCGTTTCTCCAATCAGCGAACGAATTCACTTTGATTGACATCTGCAATCCGGTCGGTGTGCGGTGACGGATGGCATACGGATGGAGTTCAACAATGTTCAACTTCTATCCGTATGTCTGCGGATGCGTTGGGGTCACGTGGTAAAAAAGGAGCAATCAGGTGCAGTCACTAAAAATTAATGGCGGCAGAAGTAGCGATGAACGCTCGCTAATAGGGAAAGAATGTTTTGCTAAAAAATACTTATTTCTGAATTAACATTATAGCGAGAAATCTGCGTGCTGAAAAAGACAGCAATCAGCTGAATTTAGTTAAAAAAAGATAAGAAAAACAAGATAACTGCAACTACAGTACTTGTTCGTTCAAGAAATTCAGTTCAAGAAAATCAGCGGCAAAAATTATAATTCCAAGTCCATGAAATAGTAAAATTTGTTCTGATAATCATATTTTAGTTCTGCATACTTATTTAGCTTTAATGAAAATGAATGTCTGACTATATCAAACTGCTATAGCAAATTAGATATGATTGAAAGATTTGCTATTTTTTTCTTTTGAAACAGGTAAAAACTAAAAACGTTAATTATAAATTAAATTTGATAGCCTTTTAAATACTCCAGTTCATTGAAGAGTATGTTAAGTTTGTATTTCCCTTTATAAATATATCTTTTTGGATAACATATATGTGTAAGCACATGAAATATAACTTTAGCAGCCCGTTTAACTTCAATCCGAACGCCACTTTAAAAGATAATGATTTTTGTAAAAAATGTACTAGAAGCTGAAGAACAAAACTCTGGTGAATTTTTCAGACGATAGCACACTAAAATAGGACCAAAAAATTTAGTTTTAAAAATTGATTTACTTGATGATGCATATAAGCCAAAATATGCAGGCAGCTTACGTGCAATCCTAGCTTAGTGGTAAAGCTGATGGTAAGGATGTTCATTTTTTTTTTTTGGAGTCGTGAGTTCGAATCCCATACGCTTTTTGCACCCTGTCTGCAACTTTCTTACCTTTTTATTCCAATTTGATCTATATTCGTGTTTTATAATTTATTTCTATTATATGCATTAAATATATTGTTTTATTTATGCTCTTATTTAAAATTTTTCCCGCAAAAAAGTTTGAAAATTATATAATACTAATTTAAAGCATGTCCTTGTACATATATATTTGAATTTAACAAACATTCTCTATTCGTAAAAAGCAAATTTAAAGTGAATTAAATTTAAATTAGAAATGATTAATTATTGCTGCGAACTAATCTACAATATCATTTAAATTCTGAGAGCATATGTAAATCAAGTGCAAGTATCAAAATTCATGAATAAATATATAATTCCAAAAATTTATTAATCTTAAAAATTTTAAATAACAAGTTACGATACATTTAACATAACATAATACGATGTAGTTAAGAAATGATATGTGTTACCATCATTTTCTTCTCACTTCTAATAAGTGATATATCATTATACTTAATACATGACACAGCGCGAGGATAAACTCCTGAGAAGTAGTCAAATATATAACTATAGAGAGATTATAATATGATAAAAATACGGTTCAGTATGATAAAAATCCAGTATAGGATGACAAAAATACAGTAGTTTACAGCAGATTACAGTAATGATGAATACAAAGGTATGGACTAATATGTTTGCGGTAAACTACATTGAAAATATTATGCCAGTTAAAAATAGATGTGCATATGACATGATACAATTTAAACAGTTGTAGCATACCTTGGCAATAAAGATTTGTTGCATTTGTATAAATAACAGATTACGATACATTTAACATAATACAATGTAAATACGAAGTCATATATGTTATTGCATAAGACTTCTAATATTAGACTAAACTAATCTTAACTAAAGAGATATAGCCAAAGCTATCTAAATTCTAACAGAGTTGGCCCCTTAACGCTAACTGATTGTGAAGCTATCAAGGGCCTCAAGTACGGCCGAGAGTAATAATACCTTACGAGAGAATAGCCTAAAAGGGGCGGACGCTTGCAGCCAGAATATCTGGTACCTCTCTCACAAAGACTGTAGAACTTCGCATTTATATACCGCGCTTCCTCATTAGCACTCAGACGTGCTTCTAAAACTACGTTCTGGCCGGAAGTGGTAAGTTGAAGTAAGAATCGATAGGAGAGGAAGTTTAACTCAAAATTTAACTGTTAATAAAATTAACATAATTCTTACAACGTTCTTGTCGCTTACGCCCCATAAACATCCAAATCACAAAATATTTGAAAAACGCATATCTTTAAAATTTCCTATAGAAAGACTCGAGTGCTGACGATAAGTGCTTTTTTTTTTTTTTTTTTTTTTTTTTTTTTTTTTTTTACAGTGTTGCCACTGCTCGATTTGAAATTTTTGAAATTGTTAAGCAAAAAGTCGTTAAAGTTTTCCAAAATATACTTAATCTTCCACGTGCTCATGTTCTACGTTATTTACAATTGGATGGCTCTATATGTACTGTTGTTTTTTCATAATGAGAGCAACATGAATACAATCATGCAGATTCTTCATTATTTAATTTCTTTAAATATAACACCAGGCGATTATATTTGATGGCAACAATCTGAAAAGAGATACGCCGTTTAACGTGTTTCAACAAAAAATGCCATTTCGAGACTAATATCTCATTCGGGAGTAACGCCCTCTTTGGACTAATACAAAAATGTTTGTCCAATTAGTTATGAATGTGTTAAACTGTTTTTAAGTATATTACATGAAGATTCCTTTTATTTCCTGTTGTTTTACTCTTAATA